CGGGGCCCTGGTAGCAATGAACGTGGGGTACGTGAACGCAGGCGCGGCACAAATAACGGCACCCGTTGCAGTGAACGTGGCGTCCGTGGTAACAACACCTGGAGCAGGGGCCCCCGCGGTTATGGACGTCGAAATTAATTTTTTCAATTTTTAAACATTTTTTTAAACTGTATATGTATTTGATTTTTAATAAAATATATTAAATTTAACTATATATATATTGTGTATAATATTATACAATTTCCGCCTCTCTCCTACATCCAGCACGTGCGAGCGGGGGAAAAAACGGGGCGCAACACAGTAATAGGGAAAAAGCGCGTACCTGAGCGGGGTACGAAGGAGAAAACGGTGAGAGGGAGAGAGAAACGCATGCCTGAACAGGGCCCAACGTGGGTGGGAGGGAGAGAGAAGCGCGTGCTTAAACGCATAGGTGGTAGGGAGAGAGAGAGAACGCTCACTAGAACGGGGTCCAACGAGTGCGAGAGAGAGGAAAACAAGTTCTATGCGCAGGAGGGAGGGAGGGGGAAAACGCTCGCTAGAACAGGAAAAAACAGGTTCAACGCGTGGGAGGGAGAGAGAAAGAGAACGGGTGGGTGAGAAGACAGAAAATAAAAAATTTAGCAATAAAATATTTAACTTAACTATATAATAAAATAATATTTAATCAATAATATTTAATCAATAATATTTAATTGTACAATTAATTTAAAAACTACATAATTAATTAAAAGTAAGAATTAATTAACCCTTTCCCTGTGACGTCAGCCCTCTCCACGCAGGAACCCCTGTGACGTCAGCCCCCTCCCCGCAGGGACCTTTGTGACGTCAGCCCCCCCCCCGCCCCGCAGGGACCCCCCTGCCCCGCAACCCCCTCGCTCCAATTTGGATTAGAAGCGGCCTAGTCTATCTACTCGTAATTGCGCTGTTATTGAAAGCGTTCGTTCAAAGCGGTCGTCGTACGTATCTTTTGGCTTCGGTGTTTTTTCGCGGTTAACTCTATAGCAAGTTGTACACCCGTGAAAAAAGCAACCGTGAAATTGTAGCTCGTGACGTTGCGTTTCACCGTTATTATTACACTCGTAATACCCGTCGACGCGCATGCCCTCCGTTAAACGATGCTCCCATCCGTGTCCAGCGTGGATTATACGTCGGCCTAACTCGCGTTCCTTCAAAAGCCACTGAATAGCTTTGCGCGACTGCTTATCTTTATACCTGTATCCTCCCGTCGGAATGATCCCTATCACCTCTTTGCGCAAGAAGTTCTTGCGAAAAACTCTCATGCACGTCGAGGCGATAGTCGTGCATTCCACGAAAGGACACACACTGCCGCGTTTTAGAAATATCTTTCAAAACGCCATGCATGCACGACGAAGGATAATGACGTCGGTTCAATAATATTTAAGTATTTCACGCTGAAAGTCGAATACGGTGTTTTTACTCGATATTTCCGCGTGCCACGCGAGAAAACGTTCACGCTCCTGCGCTTGCATTGTTTCGGACGCGTAATATTTAACATCAGGCATCGGGCC